GGATCATTGTCAATAACGTTACCTATAGGACCTTTAGATCGATAACCAACTTTAATTCGTAAATCAAGATATATTAAATTGTTTTCCTTATCCCTTACGTCCAAATTATCCTTTGTAGTTATTATTCCAAATCTTATTTTTTAATAGTTCATACCCAAACATATATACCTGGATTCTCAATAATCAAACAATTTCTTGGCTATTGGGTTTTCTTTCCTATAGGCCAACAATGAACGGTTTTAACCAAAAATGAATGCTAGCGCTGCTCCTTTTTCTTGATACACATATTTAAACGGATCCAATCAAATGGAATGCCTATAAACCATAATATAAACAAATGTGCGAACTATGAATATTTGAATGATTTAACTAAATAGAAAACGTCTATATATGATCTTCTTTATTTTTTTATGCATTAAGAATTCGACAAACTCCTAAATATTAGAAAAAACAAAGAATATAGAATTTTCAATTTCCATATTTTAAAGGATTTTATATATTATTTCCATATATGGATTTTACATTTTTATATATTAAATTATAAAAATATTTTTCATAGATAGATATTACTAAATATTCACATATCTTAAATTAATAAATAAGAATTCATCATCCATTTCTTCAATATATAACTACTACAAATTAAAATTTCTGTCTTCAATCCTATCAAAGAACATTCAAATTATTCCCCAAGCAGTGTGGGCAAACTGAGGGATTCTTACGGTAATGGAAAAGCAATTGATGTTAATTCGTTGCTATTTACAATATATTCATGCCTCTCGACATCGTCACTGTGCGTTTCGATTGCGCAGGCTCGCAGAATCTGGGTGCTTCTAGCGATTACGCTCTCGTTTTGGTACCGTGCGCATTTGCGCACATGGTGATGACTTTTCGTGGCAGACACAAGGGAAAACTCATATTTTGGTGCTCCAAAATCGACTTTTCGTAACAGGTGCAAGGGTCGGAGCTGTTTTACTTCGAAAGACAATTTTCGTGGCAGGTGCAACACTTTAGACATGACGGCGATCGTCAACGAACTCAGATTTCGTGACAGGTGCAATGAATCGTATTTTTGGACATATGGTTCGTTTGCAGATTTCGTGGCAAGCGCAACACTCTGTGACCCTCGATGTGCAGATTTCGTGACAGGCGCAGCACTTTGGGAACCTCGAAATGCAGATTTCATAACACATATAATACTTTGGGAACCTCGAAGTGCAGATTTCGTAGCAGGCGCAACACTTGGTAAACCTCGACGTGCAGATTTCGTCGGTGCAACGCGTAGTGAATATTGAAAAAAATTGGTTTCGTGATATATAAATATAGCATTTTATGAATCTCGAAATGCAGATTTCGTGATAAACCCAACACTTGGTAAACCTCGAAATGCAGATTTCGTCAAAAAAGCAATACTTAATAAACCTCGAAATGCAAATTTCGTGGCAGATCCAGCACTTAATAAAAAACCTCGAAATGCAAATTTCGTAGCAGACGCAATATTTAACAAACCTCGAAATGCAAATTTCGTCGCAAATAGAATGCACAATGACATTTAAAATGTAATTTTCGTGGCAAACACAATATATAATGAATCTCGAAATACAGATTTCGTAGCAGGCATAACACTCAATAAACCTCGAAATATAGATTTCGTGATACATATAATACTTTTGAAATTTCGATATTTAAATCTCGTAACCGTCGCAACACTTAAAAGATTAAATTTCGTTACAAATACAACGCTTTAAAAATCTCGAAACGCAATTTTGAAGAAAAAAGCAATACTTAGTAAACCTCGAAATGCAGATTTCGTCACAAGCGCAACACTTAATAAACCTCGAAATACAAATTTCGTAACAGACGCACTTACTCACACCCACCTTCACTTGACATATTCGAGGATCATTGTCAATAACGTTACCTAGAGGACCTTTAGATCGATAACCAATTTTTATTCGTAAATCAAGATATAATAAAACATTATCCTTACCTCCAAATTACCTTTTTCTATTATTATTCGAAAGCTTATATATTTAGTAATTCGTATCCAAAAATATATATTTGGACCCTCAATAATCAAACAATTTCTTGGCTATTGGGCTTTCTTTCCTATAGGCCAACAGTGAACGATTTTAACCAAAATTGAACGCACAAATAAAACGGGTCCAATCAAATGGAATACCTATAAACCAGAATATAAATAAGTGTGCGAACTATGAATGTTTGAATGGTTCAATTAAATAGAAAATATTTATATACGACATTTGAATTATTGGATAACACCTTCTTTATTCTCATTATATATCAAGAATTCGATGGATTTCTAAATATTACAAAAAAAAGAACAATTTTTTTCATATTTTAAAGGATTTTATATAATATTTACATATTTGGATTTTGCATTTTTATAATTATAAAGGATTTTTCATAGATAGATATTACCAAATATTTCCATATTTTAAACGAATAAATATGAATTCATCATCCATTTCTTCAATATATAACTACTACAAATTACAATTTCTATCTTCAATTCTATCAAAGAACATTCAAATCATTCCCCAAGCAGTGTGGGCACACTGAGGGGTTCTTACGGTAGTAGATAAACAACTGATGTTAATTCGCTGCTATTTACAATATATTCATGCCTCTCGACATCGTCACTGTGCATTTCGATTGCGCAGGCTCGCAGAATCTGGGTGCTTCTAGCGACTACGCTCTCGTTGTGGTGCCGTGTGCATTTTCGCACATGGTGATGACTTTTCGTGGCAGACACAAGGGAAACCTCATATTTTGGTGCTCCAAAATCGATTTTTCGTGACAGGTGCAAGGGTCGGAGTTGTTTTACTTCGAAAGACAATTTTCGTGGCAGGTGCAACACTTTAGACATGGCGGTGATCGTCAACGAACTCAGATTTCGTGACAGGTGCAATGAATCGTACTTTTGGATATATGGTTCGTTTGCAGATTTCGTGGCAAGCGCAGCGCTCTATGATCCTGGATGTGCAGATTTCGTGGAAGGCGCAACACTTTGGGAACCTCGAAATGCAGATTTCATAGCACATATAACACTTTGGGAACCTCGAAGTGCAGAGTTCGTAGCAGGCACAACACTTGGTAAACCTCGAAGTGCAGATTTCGTCGCAAATGCAATACAACACTTAATGAATCTTGAAAAAAAATAGATTTCGTGATATATAAATACAGCACTTTATGAACCTCGAAATGCAGATTTCGTAATAAACCCAACACTTGGTAAACATCGAAATACAGATTTCATCAAATATGCAGCACTTAATAAACCTCGAAATGCAAATTTCGTAGCAGACGCAATATTTAACAGGCCTCGAAATGCAAATTTCGTCGCAAATCGAACGCATAATGCCGCTTAAAATATAACTTTCGTGCCAAATACAATATATAATGAATCTCGAAATACAGACTTCGTAACAGGCATAACACTTAATAAACCTCGAAATGCAAATTTCGTAACAAATAATAATATTCTAGGAATTTCGAAGATTTTATAGCGGCCGCAACACTTAATAAATCTCGATATAGAAATTTTACCGCAAATACAACACTTAACAAATCGTAA